ACGCAACAATATCTTATCCAAACTTCTGGCTTAAATTTAGCGTTATTTAAAGCTTCATTTTCAAAACTATCCATATAAAAGCCACATAACAATGGCGACAAGGGGGATTCCATAGATAAACCCTCTTTCTGTTTATAACGATTTTGATTAACTTGGAAAAATGGATTATCTACACATACTCTTGTTAATTTCAACTGTTTTCTATTAATTTATTCTCAAAACATCTAATCACGTCATCTAATGGTGTTTTAGTAAACAACGATATTACATCAAATGATAACAGTAAGTCTTCCTTTTCTAATTTTAGGTTTTTAATCTTCTCTACAAATTCTATAGAATTTTTGACTGTATATTTGTTCTTATTTCTCAAAACAGAATACTTTCGTTTTATAAATTTTGCTATTTCATTAGATGATGAACCTATATTTGATAGAATGGGCCTAAAACTGTTATTATTTTTATGTATTTTTGGTAATACGTAAAACCTTGGTGCAATAATTCTACTTGGTACTAAAAATTTTTTTTCTCTCTTCAGGAGTTAAAATGAGGCTATTCTTAACATTAGTTTTTACGTTTTCATGATATTTGTTTATTCTTAAGCTTTTCATATACGTACTTTATTTCAATATGTCTTCTACCCCCTTGTCATAATCACCTTTGTTAAGTATTATGGTTTGTCCTCCTCTTTCTGCTTTAAGAACGATTATATTACTATTTTCTTTTATTGATTTTATAATCAACATTTCGTTTACTATAGTTCGGTTTGAATTTTTTAATAATTTTATGACATTCTATTCTAACAGTCTTTACGTCATTAGGACTTCTTACTTTACTTAACCCAGTTTCAATATTTGTTATAATTTCTTCCTTACTATAACTTGTTAACCTACATGCAAACCCAAGCTTTTTTCTAACACTTCCTGTTGTTTAGTATTTAACGTTTCATTCGAATTATTAACTATTTTAGGATTCTCTAAAATATTCTTATATTTTTCTGGTAATGTTCTTAACTTACTTTGATTTCCTTTTTCTATTAACTTATAAAATTTATGATATAATTTTATCTTATATTTATCAATGTCTTTCTTCGTACGAATCCAATAGGAAATTTCTCATTCTAACCAGTTTTGCCCATTTTCTTTTGCTGCCGACAAATGTAATTGATACACTTTGTACTCTAGGTCTGCTATGAAACTTCTTTTTGTTGTATCATAGTCCTCAATATTTGTTGCTTAATCTTGTGTAAACAGTGGCCGATTTTCTTTCATGTTACTTTTTACTTGTATAAACTTTGAGTTGGTGCTATTTCTTTTGCATTTCACCAAAAAAGTTAATTAAAGTATCTTCCTTTTCAACTTACTCCTGTCTTATAAATGTTTTCGTTGTAAATCCTGTTGCAGTTTTTTCCCATATTCCTTTCCTCAAAGACAGGTGGTATTCCAGATCTACTAAAAAATTTCTTTTTGGTGTATTGTAATCTACTCTATCTGTTGATTGAACCTATATGGATAATTTTGAAAATGAAGCTTTAAAGAACGCTAAATTTAAACCAGAAGTTTGGATGAGATATGTAGATGACATATTCGTGGTGTGGTGCCATGGCAACAGTAAGCCACAAGAATTTTCTAGTTATTTGAATAGTAAAGAACCATCAATTCAATTCACGTATGGAATTGAAGAAATAATAGTTTACATTTTCTGGACGTACTAGTCAAAAAAGAAATAGATGGTAACTTGGAAACATCAGTTTATAGAAAACCTTTTGTTGTTGTTATGCCACCACACCAGGAATCTCATCATATAAAAGCACAAAATATTACTGAATTTTATACATATGTTTATAGAGCTTTAAAAATATGTTCAAGACAGGACTTAAATAACGAATTGTTATTAAATAAGTATATAGCTATTGATAGAGGATTTGATCCAAATATAGTAGACAAAGCATTTGAGAAGTTTAACAAAAATGTAAATTCCGTTAAAGATATCACATTAAAATTTGTTTATTAAGAAAAAGATACTTTAAGTTTACCTTACGTTCCATGTTTAACAAGTCAATTATATAAAGTATTCAAAAAGTATCAGAATTTTTACTCTATCTTCAAACCAATAAATAAGATGTGATCGGGAATGCTAAAGGCAGAATAGAATTAACAGATAAGACAGGTATATACAAGATAGAATGTGAATGTGGTAGTGTTTATATTGGTCAATTACACTAAGGAAATATGTAAATAACAGTGAAGTAAGGGGGAATATATAAAATAGTATTGTAAGTTACTCCTGAGGATGAAGTAGATCATGTCGAAACATGTACTTGCAGAGTGATATTTTATAGTGGAAGCCGTATGGCTTCAATAAAGTTTTTATTGTGTAAACATAAAACGTTGTATTTAATTATTTATTATAATTTAAAAAATCTTTCTCTTGTCTGTTCACATGGGCTGGGCTTAGGGATACAAAGTAATAACTACTAAATGCTATTGATGAAAATATCAAGTTGACTGAGTTTACAATACTTGTAGATATTACTTGACTGTCTAGTGAAGTAAAATTCTTTGATGATCCACTCTGGATGTCTTGTATTAGTTATAATAAAGTTAGGACATTTTTTATGAATGTTGTCCATTATGAAAGACATAGTAATATGAAATATGTTCTTTAAAATGCAAATTTACAATAATATAAAAACAAACAATACAATAAAAGACAATTCAAAATAATCAACAATATAGTAAAATTCAGTTTTTAAATTAAAAATAAAATTGTAAACTATACGAAAAGTAATTCACAAACAAATTTTTATACAAGTTGAGAAAAACAAAATATGAATGAGTGAAGTTTATGACATAGAGATCATTCATAAAAAGATTAATATTCATGCAAGAAAAAACATTTGTATCATTAAATTAAAAATTGATTAAAATCACATAACAATTAACAAATACAATAAAAAAACTTCCTATTTTAACAAAACAAATGCAAGTTTCAAATAAATACAACTAATTCATTAAGGAAATAAAAAAACAGTAATCATATCAATATTTTTAGATTATTTTTGTAAAATATAGTATTATGCATATAATCTAAAATATATATATAATTTCTATGGATTATTGCCAGATCATTTGAAAATTGAAATTTTGACAATTGAAAAATATATAGATTAAGTCATAAATATCTAAATAAATCTGGTCTGCTTTTATATTAATACTAGTTATTCTGATAAAATAACTCATTTTTCATAAAATAATAAATTCAAGATACAGTCCTTACTATATGTTTGTTTTTAATTTTAGAACTATTATCAGATATAAGAAAATCAAATGATGACATGAAAGAGTAACAAAAAATATGATAAACAAATGACAAATACTTATCATTTCACATTTGTTATGAAACTTTATGATTATATTTTATTATTTGAGAAATGAGGATGAGTCATTTTGATTTTTTTTCTGCAAGAATGGGAAGTCTTTTTATAAAGATAGGTCCTGTGGTGATACACATTTGGAATTGGACCATTCTTCAGCAAAAGATATTTTACGATTACTTTCTGCATGATCTTTCCTATCCAGTTGTTTTGCTGTTGAATAATGTGGAAGTCTGATAACATTCTTTTGATACATTTCTAAAAATACAGCCTTACTGTTGTGAGAAGTTTTTTGGCATCTAGAAACAACGCAATGTAAAGTTTTTGATACATTTGCTTCAGTATTGTAAGTCCTTTATGGACTGTTGTAGGCTTTATACCAAGCCAAGTGAATATTTAAAACTCTGTATGTTTGAGATAACAATTCTTGTTGGCTTTTAACAATCTTAAAAAAACCTGTTTGGTTACTGCATGTTATAAATTTCGTCATTCAGTTACTACTGTGTTTAGACGAGTGTACTTCATTGTTGAATTTTGTGGAGGAATAATCTTTGTCAATAATGAGATGTTCCACAGTCTATGTCCTTGGACAGTATTTTGTAACTATCCAGGCCCTGAATAAAAAAGAAATACATCATTAAATTTTCAGATGAAATGAAAGCATAAGAAATAGTTGGTCAACTGCCGGAGGCAGGATTTATTTGAGACTTTGGTACTGAAAGTTCAAATACTATTTCTATCATGAGTTACAATAAAGTATCTAGTTCCAAAATACTACCTAAAATCTGGTTTAGTTCATTTTTCATTGCTTCAGATAATTTGAAACCTCTCAATAACCTGAGCATTCAGTATTTATCAACACTTAGTGTCTTTGAGACAGAAAGTTATGGTTTACATTATCAAGACATTAAAATAAAGTAGGAAATTAGGGAATGGATGTACACAGAATGAATATTTTTTTAGTAATTTAAAGAAATGTAATATTAAAATTTTCATTCTCTCTTGTTTTTCCCCAAAACACTAATTACTGGCAATTTTGAAAGGGTCAGCATCCATTATTACTTTTTGAAGTGTTTCTATGAGAAAGCTTTTGAATTTGAACCTTGTAAGCTATTTCAATGAATTATAAAGAAAGTTGTATATGTAAACTTTTTATATCCTTACTCATTAAAGAAAGATATTTTCTTAAATCTAGATGAGATATATTTCAATTTCTACAACATCCTTTTGTGGCAATGATTCAGTCATTGTTGATGACTTGATGTTGATCTTTTTATTAACTTCATCATAAGGTGATATGAAATTAGTAATGGTCTTATCCATATGTGTGAAACGTTACTCTTATGAACAGTTTGAAAATTACAAAAATATAATTATTAATTTTATCAGGTTAAATGACCACAAATAAAAGGAAGATTCAAAAGCCAGCAGACAAGTACGGATAAACATGGCAGTTAACAAAAAACACTTCAGAGATAAATTTTGAATTACTGAACAGAAGGGAGGCACCCAGTCAGCAGCACCTGACATTATAAGGGTTTTGAACCAAATAAATGGTTTGACTCTCACTTTTACAAGGCACCCACACCTGAAGGTGTAAACTTTGAACCTTCTGATCCACTGCCTGATATCCTAACTACTATGCTATGTTCAGCCCAAAATGCATAGCATGATACATGTTGATAATAACAATTGAAAAAAATGAAACACTAGACTTAAAACACAAGTGATATGGTAAATTTTCAACTGATTATACCAGTCGCCTGATGTATAGGATACAAACAACCTTCATGGTGTAAAAAAGCACAATTTTACTATGTAGAATATTAAACAACGTCTCTACTAAATGTTGCAGAGCATTCCATCAGCAAAACTAGACCTACTGCTGCTCTAACAGATTTAACGGGTGACACCCAAAACCATTATCTCCCCAACTGTAGCAGTTGTACAGTTTTTGAACATTACCCCACACAAATTTCACAAGAACAGTAAACTGCACCTTCACTAACGTTACAACCTTAAGAAAGCTTTTCACATGTCTATAACAAATATAGACATTCTTGAAACTTTACAGTAGTTACCATGTGATATAGTTGAGGGCATAAGGCTACCATACAGTATCTACTGTAACTGATAGTTTATATCTCTCAAAAAAACTATATTATGTTGCTCAAACCATGCCTTAACCTTGATTTCTATTCTTAGCTAGGATAGGCATCTTTAACGAAATATTTTATCTCATAGATTGATAGTCATACATCTGTAGTCTTAAGGTGGCTTTTATTCAAACATATAAATTGATATATTATGATGATACTATATTCAACTTGAATACTTACAGCTTTTGGAGACTCTTCTTGTCTAAGTGTTTCCAAGTGACTGTCTTTTCTCAAAACTATATGCGATAGAAATGAAATGAACAGTTAAAATTACAAAAAAATCATTTGCTTCAATACTTTAATGCTATTTGAAACAAAAATAATATAGACATGTCAATACTTACATTTGCACTTTTAAAGGTGAATAAATTTGATAGTAATGAAGGAGTTCACAGGGTCAATATTTCTACTAAGTAAAATGAATGTTAATTCAGATATTTCCAGTGCCCTTTTTACCATTTGTTTTAAATCAGTTTATACAAGTTAAACTCGAAACTGTCCTAAGTATGCAAGTGGATATTTTGGCAGTTACCCTTATGAAACTTAACCAGAACTTTCAAGTAGTTATCAATGACCTAACAAAATCTCTAGATTCCTTTTACTTCAACCTTACTTTATTACACAAGTGATGGCCACATAATATTTGCATCATTTCAAAGAAAGTCTATCAATCTACTTAAAATTTATAAGATCTCTGTATGTATACTTTTCTTTTTAATCAGAAACCCACTTGTGAAATTTGATATCAAAATTAATACTCACAGCATATCTTATCAAATTGGTGTTACAGCTTTGTTTGGTTTAAGCAAAATAGCAGGATATGACTGTTACTCTTATAAAATACCCACAGCTGAAAATGTTTGGTGTGTACAGTGGCAACATGATACAAACCTTGGATCTTCCAAATCTCAGTCCACACATTAACTGCTAAATAAAAGTAGTGTCTGAGAGGAAATATGTGGTTTTAATATGTTTTATTTTGGATGCAAATACTTAAATATAATAAATAAGATTCTAAGTATAACCTTAAAAATAACAAAACACTATAAAAAAATGGTGGCCTTCTTACATTCTATACCAGAAACAGAAAATTCATCTTGCACAGATACTTACTGTGTTTATCTGGACTACAATTTATCAGTTTATATTCTCGATCTAGACAAAAGTTCATTTCTTGGCACAAATGTTCCACTGTCTTTTCCAAAAAACAACAATAACTTACAGCTCGACGGAGTTTCCAAATCTATAAAATAAAGTACAAGCACAAGTAATTAAAAAACAACAACAACAACAGAAAAAAGAAGTCTAGAATAATACTACACAGTCTGTAGACAAGTGGTTCCCAAACTGGCAACACCCTAACCCACTTACCTTGATTTGTGTGACATCCCTGCTGCCACGTGCAATATATATATATTTTTTTATGGTCTAAATTATTCCCCGTTTGATGACTCTTGCAACACCACTACCAACTTCACATAGCTTGGAAACCACCGCTATAAACCTCCATATATAGACTGAAACTGAAATACTGGCATAAAACTAAAAACAGCTATTAACTTGATGTCCTGGTAAATGTATCAACATAATAATATTTTGTCACCTTCTATATAATTTTACTAAAAAAACATTTCAAGATATATTTAGTCTTTCACCTTTTAACACTATTTGTACTATTAAATTCAACCTTAAGCTTCCTTTTGTGTGTGTGTACGAGCCTTTTCAGTCATGGATTTTTTTTAATCTCTTTTGGTTGTTCTAATCTTTACTTTTTCCCCCTCTCTATCCTCAATATTGGCTTAAATTACTTTGCTCTTATCTATTTTCCTTTGTCATTCCCTGATTTTTTTCTATAGCTTCACTAGATTTTGATATTATGCTAATACCATTTTGGCAGATGTATGATCATTGCTGAATTAAATTTAACCTTTACATCATTCATTATTATGTTTTCAGCATTTAGCAGTGTTTGATATTATGTTTTCAAAAAAGACTTTAAGAGATTTAATCTTTCCTATTACTTGTTTTCTAGCTTATACTAAAACATCTGTTTCTTTATTTTTCATTTCTCTTTATGATCTCTTGATCTGCAGCTAACTTATCTTAATCAAGTCTACCCTAACATAAAAAATAGGCAGAATTTACAGCCATCTTTAGATCTTTACTGAATGGTATTTCCTCAGGCCTATTCTTCTCTGGAGTTTAAAACTCCACTGCACTTTTAACATTCTCAAATTGTTAGTTATTGTTTCTTCTAGTTATAAACTCTCTCTTTCTTCGACCAACAACAGAGGCATCCCTAGGTGCCTAAAAGATTTAGGGTTCGAAACCATTTAAGTATGATATTGATCGTGTTTTTCTATTCTGATTTTTCAAGACACCTACTGGGGATTCGAGGCACTATCAAAGACAGTTGGGGCATGGGCCCTGTGCCTAGCAATGCCTCTGACTGATAAACTGAACTCCATATCAGCAATGTTATGATCTAAAGTTAGCATAGTTTTAACTACTTTTTTACTGAATAGCTTTTTAAGACTCTGTCCATTCTTAATACTAGAAACTTCCCAACAATAAAGATCAAACCTCATTTGCACATTTGGTTATGTAATGCCGTTGTCTGACTGTAGAAACCTCTTGCTGTGGCTGAAATTAACATATAACTCTAAACTGCTTTAACTGACATTGGTATGTCCTTCCCCTGTTCTATAGGACTCAAACTCACAAAGATATGTAATAATCTATTTTAGAAAGACCATTTTGCACCGAATCATTCAACAATTTTTTCAAGATGGATTATATCTAAAATTTCAATTTTTTGAACATCACAAGTTAGATTTTTCAGCTCTTTTTTGAATTCTGCCTCAGTTACTAATTATGTCTTTAATAATCTTGACAAATCTTCATCTCATAATACAGAACATACATGTTTGAAAAATGTGAAATAATAGAAGGTATTTTTACAACACAGTTTTAATGATCATGAAATGACAAACTGGGCTCTTGTTTCTTGCTTGTTTATTTTTAAATATATGGAGTTCTCTTTTAATACTCTGAAGTTATTCTACAAATTTCATGATGTCCTCTCACCAATCATCATCAGAACATGGCTATCTTACCTCTGTTTGTTACTGAAACATTTGTTTCAATAGCCAGATTAACAGAGATGAAAGTGTCCCTTTCCTAAAAATCCTGAAAATAATCGAAGCCAAGTAAGGGGGGTCCGGCACCCAAAATCCTGCAT